ATCCATTCCATAAATTTACATGTCAATTGGAATATAACAAAAGTTTTACAAAAACTTATTTTCAAAAGCCACAACCCGGCTTTTTCTTCAACGTTGAGGCCCCGAATACGAGTCCTCCGCCGGTACGAACCCTGCACCTGAAATGTATTCCCGTATAGAATAAGCCTACGCCTAGTAGAATATTTCCTACAGAGGCTACTCCCCAACCGAAGTGCATATGAATGTACACATACAACAATCCACAATTATAAAACCATGTAATCATTCAAATCAAGAATATATGTATTACATGTTGGAATTAACCAAGCCATGCCATGAATGAAATGAGATTCACTCCCGCAATTTAACCCCGAGCCTTTCCCGGCTCCTCAACACATGCAAATGCCAATGTATATAAAACCAAGCCCTTCTAGCTCTCGCCATTTATATTATCCTCCAAATGATTATTTAAAATCTCCGGGTCTTTCTTTGGGGTGGATATCCACAATGGCACTCAATCGACACGGAATTCATGAACTTCCACCAACGGTTCCGCATACACCAACACACTTCATAGGCTCTTATACCAACGGAGTGCGTATCCAATCACCGGGTCTTTCACTCGAGGGATAGTCTAGCTCTTCTTGCTAACCCGACCCAAATTTTCCTTTCATGCATTCATGAGACTCAGTCGGATCTTTAGTCCAGCTTTCCCGAACCCACTCATCAATCACCAAATATGGTGTTTGATTCAACCATGCACCCACACTCATGCTTATGCATATGCTTTCCCTGTGCATATGCAATGTAGTGCACCATTGCAATATCCATGTTATGCTTTACATGTAATGAGTGCCAATTGAGGAATCACATATCTCCACATATGTCATGGCAATCTATAGCGATTGTATATAATACCATAAATCAACATGATGCTAATATATTAACAATATATAGCAATTCATTCATCCTCAACAAATTTCACAAGCTTGTTATACATAATCCATGCTATAACAACTTAATTTACTCTTAGGCAATTAGCAAAATATCTTAGGGCACAATCCATGTTACCACACAAGAATCTCCACCTCATTCGCAAGGCATAATATAAAACATATAGCATGCCCAAAATATCAAGTTCCAAGGAAGTCCCATAAATAATTTCCTATGCCAACATAACTAGGAATTGGTCTAAGCCAAATTCCATACCCATTTCCTCATTTTCATAACCATAGTCAAGTGACCTAGGTTATTCTATACCCTTACCCTATTCATAATACACCCTAGGTAAGAAAGTGAACCAAAATAGGAGAAACCCTACCTCTTGGAGAGTGATACAAGTGGTAGACACCTCAACAACACAACACCACTTCCAAATCTTTGATTTCTCCAAAATCCTCCCCTTGGATCTTCAGTGAAATCCTTCATTCTTGGTACATACGCGTAGCCCTCGTCGCGTAGAACAACTTTAAGTCTTGGTCCGAGGGATTCCGACCGACGGAGCTCCTTGGATCGAAGAAAGAAATCTTGGATTTTTTATTTTCTCCTTCTCTTTTCTCTCCTCTCTTCCAACGCCTGAACTAAGCTGACTTTGGGGTGAGAATATCTGATTTTTCAGATATTTCACCCTATTTATACTTTTTAATTGCGCGGTCTATATTGACCCGCACGTTTATTACTTTCAGGTCCGTTTTTAACTCGAAACGACTTAAATAATTTTCAGTTTCAGTTCAAATTAATTTTATTTGAAATTTTATTTAGTTATAAGGAAATTTTATAAAATTCATTTTTGGAGACCTTTGAAAGGTCATTCGTCACCCGTTTGTCTTGTAAAATGTGTAAAATTTGACTATCTCAGAATTCGACAAAAATTGACATGGCAGCTCGATTTCACGATACGAATCCAACGGTGAGGTCCATTGCTTCATCCAAGCTCTAGAAGAATATGAATTTTAAACCCACATTATCGTGTCAAATTACTATTATGCCCTTTTTCTGAAAAAAATTCAAATTTTTCCCAGGTTTTACAGTATACTCAAGACAAATGTGAGAGGGAAGGTCTTAGAGGTTACCCCCGGCTTGATAGCGGATTTGATGAATTACTAGAGGCCTCCCACCAATACCACAGTTTATCCACACAATGTCCAAGGGAGAAAATCACTCCTGGAGTATGTGTAGTTGACATATGAGGACCCGACCCAATTCAAAGGAAAAATTCAAGTCGAGGCCCTCAGGCACTCATACGGGGTCGTGAACAAGGTTTTGCACTACAATTTGATTCCCTAGGGGAGGAGAAGCTCGCCCTCCTCCACGCATTCATGACGGGGAAGCAGATGGATGTGGCCTTGATGATATGGGACTTCATGAAGGAGTTCGCCCAAGCTAGCAAGCCGAAGGAGAATCTCCCATTTGCCAATTTGGTCATGAGGATGTGCTATCACTCTAAGGTCAAGGCCAACGTCTCCGATGTGTTGTTATCTCCGGAGTTCGGAGCTATCAGGAAGTCCAGTAATAGCAAGAGGACGACGATGAGTGGGGATGAGAGAGCTAGAGCACCAAGGCCTGAGCCATCCACTGTTGGGCCGCCTATTACTGGGTCTTCCACCACTGCTCCACCTTTCACAGTTGCTCAACGCTTAGATGTTTTGGAAGGGACTATGCATCGGCTATCCTTGATGATGATGAGGATTTTTGATCATACTTTCCTAGGAAAGTCGATCCCCGATGGACCTCCACCACTTTTTGCTGGACCTTCTACCTCTGCCCCCATTGTTTCTATTGTTGAGGTAGAGGGTTCAGGCGATGATGACTCTAGTGATGAAGAGGACAATGAGTATGAGAGTAACGAGGAGGGGACTGAAGATGAGGATGAGGAGTAGGATGATCTTTTGTTTTATTTGCTTTTAGTAGTTGCACATATAGGAGTTAGGATTGTCGGCCTAGTAGAAGAGTCTCTAGGATTTTAGGCCGTTTTGATTTTGGCTTCTACTCATTGTACCTAACTTTTTTGGAAAAATAAATGAAAGAACCACATTTGTTTTGTTTCATCTTGCCCAAGTTCATTTATTTAATTGCCTTGTGATTTTTGTATTTTGATTGTTTGGTGAATTGCTTTGCATGAATGGATTTTTTTTAGTTTTTTTGCTATATGTTTTGGAAATAAAGTTTGCTAGAGACTAGCAAAACTCAAGTTGGGGGCTGTGATGAGCATAGAATATTGCACATCATTTATCTCTTTACACCCATTTTATACTTGCTTTTGTGGAGAAAATGGGGAAAATTGTGTTTAATCTAACAATTAATAGAGTTTTGTGTGATTGTAGGTAAAAAGTAGGAAATGGTGTGTATTAAGCTATCAAGAAAACAAGAAAAAGCCAAAACAAGTGAAAGACTATCGGTAGATATTCATGAAAACCTATCGGTAGGCTTAGTGCCCTGGAATTCTTCTACCGCTGCCCCTGCCAAAACCTACCGGTAGATTTTGCCTACTGGATAAAACCTACTGGTAGATTTTATCATCATTTTACTAGTAGGTTTTGCCTAGAAATGCTAGAAACCTACAATCTCAACTCCAACTGCTTCGTGGGCCCACCTTTGCTTCTCCCACACATGTCCTGATATATTCTACATATAATGATAATCTCTTACACCTAAAACCTTTGGAAGAAAAAACATGGAAAAGGAAGCGAGCGATAGAGAGTGGTTGTGGGGAAGTATGGAAGAGGAATGCAAGGCCTGTGGTTGCTTGTTGCAGTCCCCAAAGACCTTCCAATGATTGGAATTCAGTTCTCACAGACCATGGGAGGGTTATGGATAAATTTTGACAGGCTACTACACCATTATTCAGCTACACACATAGTTTTAGAGAGAGAAACTCAAGGAAAAAGATGAAATTTTAGAGAGAGAAAGTTATGTTTTTGCATTTCCACCTCCATTTTAATTGTAGTAAGCTTTAAATCACTTGTAATCTTTGCATCTTTCACTTTAATCTCAATTATTTCAAGTGTGATCATGTCTAGGTACATGTTTTTGCATTTGCATGTTTACATTTGGGTTTTTCTTTCCAACTTTCCATTTGGGTATGAAATGAAATTTGCTTTTGTAGTTTAGCTTCTTCTTGCATCAATACAATTCTAAGCTTTATTTCATCATCATGTCTCTTTATATTGTGTATGTTCCTACTTTGATTATGGGTAGCTAAGCTTTTAGTTGGCTAATCCAAGGAAAATTTCCTCTTGGGTATGCTAGATCAACTCTCCTCCATTCTTCCTTATAGTGTAAAGTGTTTAGTTTAACTAGGTTGAGTGCGGACGTGGTTGTGAGGTCTTGATACACCGTAGACTTGTCACGGGGTATGCTCAAGCATATACCTCTACATTAGTCCCTCACTTCCTACGAATCAATCAAACACTGAGACAACTTGGTAGAATGAATTGAATTGATTTGACATTCCAATTGGGATGACCTCTTTGGATTAGCCAACTATGCTTTCTTTCATTTTTGTCAAAACACAACTCACCAAAATAAAATTCACAAGATTTTCCAATTTTCTTTTCTTTACAAATCACCCTTCCTAAACATTTGACCTTTCCATCCATGAGAAGACAACCTTGGAATACCCATTCTAGGGGAGCACTTTTGCACACACACACGTTTTTGTTCACACACAATTTTCTCCATTTCTTGCATGAAACCTGAGGTAGAGTGACACTCACCAACTTCTATAAGCCATACACATATAGTCCGGGTTCGTGTTTGGAGATTAGGGAAAACGAGCATCAAGCAGCCATCCGTTAAGCAATCCCTTCTTCCCCATTGCCTTTGAGCACTTGATGGAATGCTTTATACATGACCTTATCTGCTCTTTACCTACAATCACACAAATCTCCATTAATTATGAATTGGAATCATTTTCGCCAATTTTCACCATAAAACAAGTAATATAGGTGCAAAAGAGATACATGGCATGCAATATTCTATACTCATCAGCCTAGGCCTGGCAAATCATTTAACTCCTTTAGGAGATCATAGAGCTGTCGGTTCAATTGGATAAAAGTAAGGCATTGGCTGGTGATGCTGAGAAGAAGATGTCTAAGGTTGAGCCCAAAGTGTCTACTGGCGAGGCAAAACTTGTTGAGGTTGAGGCGAACTATGCTTGCCTAATTGAGCAGGTCGAGAAATTGAGGGCCAAAGTAGTGGGGAGATCTAGGAGGGAGGAAGAGATCATCAAGGAGTGCAAAAATGACATACTATTGGTCTTCAAGGAGCTTAAGAGGAAGACCTTCAAAGAAGGCTGGGATGTCGCTCTCACGACCTCGAGGGTTGCATCTAATTCTTCCCTGTACCATTAGCATATGTACAACCCTTCTCCTAAGATAGTGGAGGTGGATGAGTCTACTGAGAATCCTCTTGTGCATCCCCAGGCCAATCCTCCTGCCTTCCCTGAAGCAGATCCTACTGCTTCCAAGGTTCCATCTGCTCCTGAAGTTCCCTCAGCACCTATGTCGACAACCTTTTGATCGATATCGACACCCTCCTCAAGGATGGAGTGATAGCTTGATGGCATCTCCATCTGTTCTGGCAATGTTATCATTTTACTTGTTTAATTCTTTTTTCTTTCTTTTGTTTGAGGCCTTTTGTCCCCTTTCTTTTGTTTTTCCTAAGAGACGCAAAGCCCTCCAAATAAAATGCACTTTTTCAATCATACTTATTTATATTTTTTTCTTCCTTTGGATCTACATCTTAGATTGGGATGATCTTTGGTGACTCCTTATTCGTCAAGAAATTTCATTCTGAAGATGTGACCACAGCTTCACTATTCGGGACTTGTCTTATAACCATTGCTAAGAAATATTTTCAAAAAGAAGATTTATATTTCAATAATAATACTTTTTGAGATTAGATACATTCCAAGGCCTAGATACAATATTGCCATCTAAGTCTTCAAACGTGTAAGACACAGATCCACCAATTGCTATAACCTGATAGAGACCTTCCCAATTGGGCCCAAGCTTTTCATCAGTCGATTCTCGAGTATTCCTGATGACCTTCTTGAGCACCAGATCACTCACTTGGAAGTCTTGGGGGTGGAACTTTTTGTTGTGATGTTGGGCGATCTCTTTCTAGGATGTTGCAAGCGGTACGGTTGCCATCCCTATCCTTTCTTCGGCAAGGTCGAGATCCATGCTCACTTGTTGATCATTCATTCTCGTGTCAAATGCTTGGGTTCTTGTGGTTGGTAGGTCGACCTCAAGTGTTATCACTACTTCTATCCCATAAGCTACGACATATGGGGCCTCTATTGTGGAAGATTTGAGGGGTGGTTTGATATGACCACAAGTAGTTCCTTAGTCCATTTCCCTTTGTTTTCTCCAGTCCTTTCTTGATTCCTACTACTATCATCTTATTAGAAGCCTTGAATTTCCCAATACACTGTGGGTAAGTGGGTGTGGAGTAGTAGTTTCTGATGCCCAAGTTTTAGCAAAACATTTTGAAGAGTCTGCTATTGAATTGGGTCCCATTGTCAAATATTATAGCTTAGGGTACATTGAACTGTGTCACTATGTTTTTCCACACAAACTTTTGGTGTCAATATCTCGAATGTGAGTGAAGGGTTTGACCTCCACCCATTCTCTGAAGTAGTTTATGCCAACGAGGAGAAACCTCTTGTTGGTCGATGTCTTAGACAAGGGGCCAAATATATCAAGCCCCCATTTGGCAAACGGCCAAGGGCTTGTCAACGGTTTCAAATGTCGGTCGACCACTGCTTGACAAATTTTCTTGTTGTTTCATAACCTATAAACATCACCTTTTAACATATATAGTATATGAATAAGGAGGAGTGTCACTCTCCTAGGGATGATGTCAAAAGAAAGGGCAACAGAATGGTGGATGAATAAGATTTCAAATGTGAGTATGTGTGAANGCATGTATAGTATATGAATAAAGGGGAGTGTCACTCTCCTAGGGATGATGTCAAAAGAAAGGGCAACAGAATGGTGGATGAATAAGATTTCAAATGTGAGTATGTGTGAACAAAAGTGCTCCCCAAGCGCAAGGAGACTTTCGCGGATCGTGTTTTACTTGGTGGTATTCCAAGGTCGTTTCCACGGGGAAGGAAGTAAACCGAGGGGAAGGTGATTTTGGGAGAAAGAAAGTGTAAAATCTTTGATTGTTGGAAGTTGTTTGGTGAAGTTGTTTTGATGCTAGTAAAATGAGAAACAAATGTTGGCAAATCCAAGAGGTCACTCCAATAGGAATACCGTCTCAACTCGAAACCCTCCTCCAATAGAGCATGAATGAACGATTGATTCGTGGGAAGCTAGGGGTAAGATTGGTGAGTATCTAAGCATAAACCGTGACTAGGCCTACGGAATATCAAAGACTCACCAAGTTATCCACCCTCAACCCAGTCAAACCGAACCATTGAACTCTGAAAGAGGGGAGGAGAATGAGTTGAAATGGTATACCCAAGTGGAGGTTCCTCTTGGTTTTGCCAACTAAGAGATTTAGCTATTCATGCTTAAAATAAAGACAACAATATGATGAGAAGACATTATGAAAAAATAAAGACTAAAGCTAAGCATAAACGAATTGCATAAATTTAACTTCCGGATAACCACCTCTTACTAAAGATTGGATGAGAAACTACTCACTCTTCATGGCTTTGTTAAAACTAGAAAAGTGAGTGATGCTCATCCCTCCAAGTAGAGGAGTTACAAGGTAACACATTTTACACAAGGAGCCGATCTTCGACAAAGAATGAGTGAATCACGTTCCACCCTTCACGGCTTTGGTAAAGCTCTAGAAAAGTGGAAGAGTTTCACTCCTCTAAGGGAAGAAGGAAGCTCAAGCAATGGAAGTAAAAAAGCAATAACACAATAAAAGAAAGCAATACTTAAAGTAAAAGAAAGCAATAAATTAAAAGGAAGCAAGAATACAATAAAAGAAAGCAATACTTAAAGAAAGCTATAAGCAATAAGGAAAGCAATAATACTTTTGGAGAGTTTTCCACTACCAAAAGATGAATGCTTTACAAGTCCTAAGGGGTGGTATTTATAGGCAACAAGGGAGGGTGAAAGTCTTGTTAGGTGGCCTTGAATCTTGTTAGGTGGACTTGAAAAGTCTTGTTAGGTGGCTTTGAATCTTGTTAGGTGGACTTGAAAATCTTGTTAGGTGGCCTTGAATTCTTTGATCCCCCTTTGTTTTGAGCTTTGATAATTGGCACCCGAGTAGTTTGTAGCTTTAATGCAATTGGCTCCCCAGTAGTTTGTAGCTTTGACGCACAAAATCCTGAAAAGAACAACAATTAATGCATTATCCTTTATTCACACACTAATTCTAATTTGATTTATTTTGACTAGTTTAACTTTATTCAACTAACACAATTTACCTATTAAATTATGCCTTAATTAGGGTTAATTAGCCACCTAAGGATGGGTGCATGTCTTTGGCATTTATCGCACATTTGAAATATTCTCGTGCATCCCCTTGACTGTGTGGCTACCAATATCCTTGCGACATAGCTCAATGGGCAATTAACTTGCTGCCTGTGTGCCCCCACATATGCTTTCTTGAATTTCATAAAGGCTAGATCTTTGGTGATGTCTACCTCTGTGTCAGATCCTTCTCCTTAACACTTAGTATCCTGTCCATCGCCCATTTTTTATCCATAAAATTGACACATACAAACTTCCTACTATGGAAAATTCAGATAATGTCATTGATTGAAGCACAAGATCTCCTCTAGTACATAGAGGAAGTAAGGCCCTAAGAATGACCTTCGATAGAGCTTCCAATTGGGAGATACCCAAAACTTGGGTACCTTGAGCCTCACTTTACGTGTCTCTTATTTATAGATCAAAAGCTCTTTGATCATCAAGAATCAGATAATAGGGTCCATCCAACTCAGAATAGTGTCCTCTATGTCAACTGAGAGACTTTCTGCTTCATTCGATATGTTCAGGTTTGGAGATACTCCATAATTATCCTTCTCATTACTTTAGTTTTGAGGGTCGAGCCGAGGAAAACCAAAGCGTCATCATGGGAGTTTTTAACTTGGGGGATTTGAGTGGCTTTAACTTTCTAGAACTCTTGAACGGAGACAACGACTTTCTCATTGTATGCCTTCTTCCTTGGATCCCGTGTTTGAATTCTCCATTCATCTGATTTACCACAGGTTGTGAGTCGCAAAACACCAAGAGGTGGACCATTCCCGCTACACGAGTTAACTTGAGCCCTAAGATAAGAGTCTTGTATTCTGCCTTATTGTTTGAGGTTCCAAATTTGAGGCGTATTTCCTACTCTGTGACGTCCCCATATGGAGATACTAATACCATGTTGATCCCTCATCCTAAGGATTAACTTCAGTGGTTGGCTAGTCAGTACTACTATCTGGTGGGCCTGGAAGTAGTACCTCAGTTTCTTTACTGCAATGATTAGAGCCAATATTGACTTTTCTAATGGGAGATACCTCATCTCAGGTTCCAATAATGCCTTGCTGATGTAGTATATAGGCTTCGAATCGGACTCAAACTCTTAGACCAAGGCGCCATTGACCGCAAACTCTAAAACCAATAGATAGAGAAATAATGTCTCTTCATTCTCCGGGATTGAGAGGGTGGGAGAAACCCTGAGACACTCTTTTATCCCTTAGAGGGCCCCATCACACTGGTCATCCCATATATCTCTTCGCACCTTCTTAAGGGCACCAAAGAAAGGCTTGCACTTATTTAAGGAGTAGGATATGAAGTGGTTCAGGATGGCCAACATCCTCGTTAGCTTTTGTACATCCTTAATCATTCTTGGCCTCTGAACACCCATTATGGTCTGTATTTGCTTAGGGCTTGCTTCAATGTCACGCCTAGTGATCAAGTATCCCAAGAATTTTCCCGAGCTGATTCTGAATGAACACTTTGTTGCGTTCAATTTCAACCCATACTCTCGATGTATCTAGAAGTTCATCCCTAAATCTCTCTGGTGATCCCCTCGATGCTTGTTTTTCATAAGCATGTCATCGATGTACACCTCCATGGTTGCCCCTATCTACTGCTTCTACATTCTGTTCATCAACCACTGGTAAGTTGCCCTCAATTTTTGAGGTCGAATGGTATAAACTTGTTGTAGTAGATCTAATGGTACCCTGCATGGGTGTCCATGATTGTCATGCGCTCGTGTCTAGTGGTTGCATCTACTAATTTATCCACCGTTGGAAATAGATAGTTATGCTTAGGACATGCTTTGTTTAAATTAGTGATATCAACGTAGACACTTCATTTCCCATTTTTATTTCTCGTGCACACCGTATTTGACAACCATTTTGTGAATTGCACCTCCCTGATTGCGTCGGCCTCTAAGAGCTGTTGTACCTCTTCGTTCACAACATTAGCATGATGTGGTGCCGATTGGTGTAGTTTCTATTTGACTGGTTTAAAGGTTGGATCTACGTGTAACTAATGGCTTATAATTTTGGGGCTTAATCCCATCATCTCTGAGTGGATCCATGCGAACACGTCTATGT